AGCAACACAGCAAACAGGCAGGTGGAACTGGGCGAAAACGGAGGTGAGGGGCAGACTTGTGGCGTACGGAGGGAAGCAGGGACTGGAAGGCGGTCAGCAAGACCGAGAGGAGAAGCAAGAGGAGATCAAGACAGCTCCGGGCAGACAGAGAAAGGAAAAAACCCAGCGCCCCTGGCAGACTGAGGGCACGCAAAGGAGCGACCAAGACACAGCAAATGGGGAAAGGACGCAGTGACCGGACAGCAGCATGAAAATCAAGACAAAACTGAGCCTGGGAGTAAAACGGGCAGGACCAGAAGTAGTTCAGGAGGAAGTGCGAGCCCGAGCCCGAGAGAAGCAGCGCGGACCTCACCGAGAGGGGGGAGGCGGCAGGAAAGCGAGGAGGAGGATGGAGCGGAGCGGCCTAACAAAGAGGAGGAAAGCACCTGGGAGCGCGGCCCGGGGCCCCTGGAGAAATGCAGCCGCCCCGGCAGGAGCCCGCGGCCGAAGCTGCCCGCGTGTGCAAGGCAGGCAGGGATCTGACGGCGTCTTCGCCACAACCTGCCATTGGATTTTCCTTCTCGCAACCGGCCCTTCACGCGTCACAGCGCTGACACACAACAGAGCGTGAGCGGGGCCCCACGACGCATTTGGGGACACGCTCTTCCCTCTTCCTCGGGGGGAAGAGCCCCACACTCACTGACACGCAGAGTCGGGGGCTCCAAAGTGCCCCCGAGGCCGAGCAGGAACTTTTGGCTGAGCTGGACGACAACCGTGGCTGCGCCCTCGGGCAAGGCCCAGGCTGCGACCTCCGCGCCGCCCGTCGTGTGCCCCGCAGACGGGCAGGGGTCGGCTCTGGGGGAGCTGGGGGGCTGCAGACTCGGGGCACAGGAGGGAGCCTCGGGCGGGCGCTCCCACGAGGCGATTGCGCGGGGCGCGGCCGAGAAGCGCGAGGGGCAGGCCCGGGGGGCGCCGCGGTGGGCGGCGGGGCTGGGGGAGGTGGGGCGTCGCCGTCCCAGCGCGGAGACCCCGCAGGGGCGACCGGAGCCACGGCGGGGCTGGCGTCACCCCCGCGGGCTGGGACCCGGGGCGGCGGGGGACGAGCGCGCAGAGGGAGACGCAGCCCGAGAGCCCGGCGGGGACGCGGCGGCGCGAGCGCGCGTGCGAGAGGGGACAGCGGCCGGGGCAGAGAGCGGGAGGAGCGGACCGCGGTGGAGCAGGAGAGAGACGCGGCCAAGGGCAGAGGAGGCTTCGCCCCGCGCGGCCCCCGCCCCGCCCCGGCGCTCCCGGCCGCCACCCGCCACTGCCGCGCGTCCCGGGCGCGAGTCGGCGCGCAGAGCCACCTGTTAGGCGCGCGCCGTCGGGTCCCGCAAAGTTGCGCCCGCGCGCGCGCCCCGCCCCGACGGTCCCGGCCCCGAGAGACGGCCCGCCTCCTGGTCGACCGCGACTCGCGGGAGGGGAGGGGCGCGGCCCGGACCGGAC